TTGGGCATTTTACCTCACTCTATGTACCTCAATTAAGAAGAGGTCACAAAGGTTAATCGCAGCATATTTAAAATCTCTACATCCACATCGTATCAGTCAAATGCTTCGAAAACCGAAAATATCACTCGAACAACAACTCATCAATGCGACCTTGGGGTTTCCAGTCCAAGACCGACCATTAACGTTCTCTGTGTCTACTTAACTTCTAGGAACCTCTCATTCCCTACTAATCTAACTTTTCTGAGGGAACTATTATTGCTGTGTACAGATGAAATTCCCTTCACATTTGAAAATAAACGCCTTCAACAAGTTGGTAGTGCAGCTATGGCTGGTCTCTTGGGGCCATTAGGAGGTAATATTTACATGTCATATATCGAGAATCTGGCTTATGATCTCGTCGCTAAAGTTTGTCTTTACAATGGATGTATCGATGACATCGTAATGATTTGTGAGAAGCACCAGATATGTTTGCTTACTAAAAAGACAATACCGTACAAATTCAAATCAGCTTGACTTCTCAGGAAAAGAATTATGATCATCTGCCACTACTAGATGTACTCTTGAATCGATAAGATGGTTCAGCAAGACAGTTCTACATGGACAGGGTAATATCTGAGTTCTCACAGTTTTTGTCTTATCCCATACAATCGAAGTCTAATAAAATGCTTGCTTAATAGAATCTGTGGTATGTATACATAAGATTGCATCAAATTATTGACCAAAACGCTTATTGAAAACGGATATCCGTGGAACATTATAAACCGGTGTAGAAGTCAGGTAGCTCCGACGCTAACTCCTAAGAAAAGCGTCCATTTCACTGTACTAAACTGAGGGGAATTGGGTAGTATAATTTTGTGACGTAGGCTAACACCAGCCATTATGAAAATATATTATGCGGTTAGTCTTATTATTGTGGTGGGACAAAACATGCTTCACCATAAATCCTGAGATATGTGGGAGCGATAGCCATACACAAATTGAAGCCGCCCCTATGCGTACAAAAACAATTTGTCCTTATACTTGATAAACTACTTTCGTAAACTTTGTTTTCTCACCAAGATTAGGATCAACTGTGTCATTCTTCTAATGTGGTGCTCCCAACTTTCCACTGCTGCACAGAGTCGAACTGCTCGACATCTGTCAGCAGATAGGTCCCTTCGTAAATCCCTTGATACTGCCATGATGTTCATTATATTACAGTCTATTTGATGGCTAGTAGCGAGATCTAAGGTGTGCGTTTGGTCCCATTTGGAACTCATCATTTGGGTGTACCTGCACCCCGGTGGGTGTTGTTCCCCCTGAGACTGGGACAAAGTACCCGTTGCTTCCAACCCCAAAGCGTTATCCAATGAGCCACTGGGATACGACAGCCACCGCTCATGAAACCCAGTGGCCTAGTGGACAGAGCTTTGGCGTTTGAACTGATGGGTAATCAGTTTTAATCTAAGTGGGAACAAGGTCACCCACGGGGGTGCGGGTACATCCGACTGGTGAGCCCCCAAAAGAATGAAATGCCCGTCCTGGATTCCACTATTAGCCATCAATATAAATACTATATCATCCTATCGTTCTGTTCGCATCTTCACTAATTTTGAACGTCTATTAAGATAATTGTTATATTTGTTCTTCCGCCCTTCTGCTTGATGTAAGTTTACTCGACAAATAAATTGATTCTTTCTAAAATGCGTAGATTTTTCAAGCATATGAAAGCGTAATAATAATCTAACAAATAATTGCTTTCGTCCAATAGAAGTGTCCTTTCATACAAACATATTTTAGGATTTGTCCTGGTGCGAACTTGACAGACGCAAAGACCAATCACTAATTATTCGAACTTGTTATATACCCACGAATACGAGACCAAGGAAGAACACGATAGTGTAGTCGGATGGAATAGTATATTTGGATGGTTATGCCAAAATACCGATGCGTTCCAACTAACTGGCTAGAAGGTCGAATACGAGCAGTGCAAAGTAACACGACAGCGTGCCAAATGGTGAGGATGCTTGACCGGGTGCCTTCAGCTTAGCGAGTCCAGTTAAATTATCAAGGTCAGCATCAATGTCGAAATTCGTCAAACCCCAGGCTATTGATTTTGGGGAAGTGTATGATGCTACAATATCTTTTAGGGTAGTTCAGTTTAATTTTGTAAATTATTCTCAAGGGTGAATCTCTGAGGGGTTGTAATGCTAAGCAACGCGTTTTTGCAGGGCCCGCTTACAAAGTCCAATATAACCAGCTCCACAGGAGAATGTGGATTTGTAGATACACATAGATGTGTTGGTAGCCTGTCCTCCACGTATTGTCGAATCGAACGACGGCTGGAGAATATCGGTCTCAGTCTAGCAGCATAAAAGGTACCACATCCTTTGACTGGACGTACAAGTATAATATCCCTTGATGAAACTGTTTGTTATTTATGCATGTACACTGATCCTAGTAATGTTAACATCGGATTACGTGCGATCAACCTAAAGGAACACATATTAAGATGTATGTTTAATGTACTGTCCACATTTAATGTGATTTAAAATCAGATCAACGGAGTCACTATGGGGTCTCCACCAGGCCCCACCCGTCCTGGCTGATATCTTCATAGCAAACTGCTAGAGTGGGCCACTTACGCACGTTTAATAAGAGAGGTATCGTATAAGTTATGTTTCCATACTTCCGATCCTATCATATTTCACAAACTGACAAGCAATATTTTCTAAAAGTGAAGACACAGTGCGTGGTTGCTTGCCGATACACAACGCATTACTGCACTTAGATTTATCTCCAATCAATAGTCAATAATTTTGAGAGTGAATATCATGCCAGGTTTCCTGAGGATGTGCATTGCTGTCACGTTTATATAGGTGTTCAGCTACCTCCTACCTAAATCTCTGACATTTTCATCTTCCAGTCGAGTAGGCGCAGGTCTGACCGCCACCTGTTTCTTGCGACCAGCACGTGTGAATGGGTGATCGGAGTCCAAAAAGAGGAGCAAGCCTCCAACGATAGCTTATAGAAATGTGATTTATCTGTGTCCATCGTTGACTTGATGTTGTCGGATGTCATGTAAGACCCGGTCTCTCTTTATGCTTGATTATATTACTGGCCAAGTGGTTTTCAGAACGAAATTGCAACAGACGATTACTGTTATCAGTCCTTCGGCACAGGATACCGTAAATACCTTTTTAACTGGCTTACCTTTCCTATTTGAGTCTTAAAGTCGTTTGCAATTATGACTATATAGGGAAGTCTTGATTTCTGCAGCAAAATTGACAGCTTTTGATTGAAGTCATCCTTTGCATCATTAGGAGTGGAGTCGATGGATGCACAGACGGAGATTATGAATAGACATCGTCTAGTCTCATAATCCTCCCTAGTTCTTACAGATCCATTCAGTTGGACACCACATAAACGGCTATTGACTGGTTTCCAGTCGAAAAGTGAGCTTTTTCTCTGCAACTTAATGTGATGCCAACACCAATGAGTTCACTAGAGCTAGTCACTAAATTTGTAGACATCGTAAAGTCAGTTTTGAAGATTTACCGCATTGGCCAGGTGAAGTCAGGTTAAGAACCATACTCGGGTTCCGCATACTTGTCTTGAAAACGGCATACATCCATGGATCGAGATCCCAGAGTTCTGGTAAGAGATGCTTGGTATCTAAGTTGGCATATAGTTCGGACGCTGGAAATTCAAATGTGAGACCGACAGTGGGCTGTTAGGAGAATCGGAAGGGTTTTTCGACGGCTTGGATCCTAGGTGATGGTCACTGAGTGAGATGTTAAGGAAGTTAAGAAAAGCTTAATATCGGTATCAGGTATTGAGGGGGAAAGGAGGAGACAAAGATAAGGAGGGTAGGTTGTTTTTATGCGATTGGAAGTGTGCCGGTGGTCGACTCTTCCCGGCTGCTCACACCGTGAAATTTGTTCCTGGTGAGTACGTAGAAGAGAAGAAGGAAAACGTATGTGTTATCACAGAGCATATGGGATACCTACTTCAATCCTGTCACAGCCTTTTGAGGATTATTGGTTTCATAGTTGATTGCTTTAATGCCGGATAAAGAAAATCCATACTGCCTGCACCGAAGGACCGCAGGGTAAGAAAGGGAGAGCTATTTTGGGGGGCCAACCTTTCCTGATCCTCGCCCCTTACACATAGAGAAGGCAACATTAGGGTGTTACTGCCGGTCATCCGAAAGAAACATCTTACTGATGTCAAACCCATGCGCCTAGCAGTACAACTTCATCCTCGGGTACCATCACAGCATAGCAATTTACACTATAGTAGTAACTGCCTTTCATCCTATGAATATTCAACAGACCTTTCTAGTATGGTTGAACCTCAAGGAACAAGGTTTCCAGTCAGTGCAGCTCGTTGGGTTACTATGGTATGGAGGCCTGCATACTACATCAAAGTACCAGCTATCGGTCGGGTAAAGTCCCAAGTACAGGCTCTTGTAGAATTCTCCCAGTAGTAATGGTAAGGCATTATTCGATTCATTTTCAAAATATCAGAATGTATGATGTAGTTTTGAATAAGTTGTTTCAACTGCTCACTATCTACTGTATTTCTCACGATAGTGATCTATTTGGATACCAGATTCCATACCAAAAGTATTATAAAACTTCACTGAGTTTAAACCGTTTTCATTTCTTTCTATAACTCATTCACCGTACGGATCCTGCAAAAAAACATAATAAAACTCATCATTTCTTTCGAATTATAGTAAAATAAATGTTTGTTATATGAAGTGTTGTGTACCATCAGGGTTAAAAAGAAACTAACCTACACAAGCTTTATTACACTTTGTTCTCTGTGAGTGCATAATGACTAATGAGCTCGTGCAGTTGTTGAATATATGGTAGGTTTAACTAATATATGGGATGTATATCATGAAGTAATATACAAACAGAAATTTGGCACTGTGACAGAGTAGAGTTCCATTTCACACTTGAACCTTACAAAGTCAACATCACTGCTAACAACGAACTGTGAAAATCAATGTATCAGAATGAAATCTGAGTTTTATTTGAAGGTTCAGTAATGGTTTTCTTTATAATGCTGGTCCAAACAAAATAAAATTAGGTGATTTTTTTATTTCATATTAAAAATAAGCATACATTATTTAGTTATAAATGTAAGATAAGTCGTTTGACATGATCTGTTTTATGTGTTAGGAAAGTTTATTTTGTTATGCAAAAAGAAATTAATTAGAACTCATACAAAATATTTAGCTTCTTTAACTCTCTGGAGACTTAAGTGGGATATAATCCATTATGACTTCAAGTCACGTAACACAGGGACCGCGTAATCTGATACACTCGTGTGAGCATCAGAATATAGTTTTGGGCAAGTGCAAATTTCATCACCAGGTATAATTTTGTCTTCTACTGAAGTTTTCTGAAATAAAACATTCAAACATGATTAGTTAGGCACACATAAATCCATTGTGATTGTAAATATTTTTACTCCAGATCGTTTGTAACTCCGTCGTATTTTCTAAAAAAAGGTATCTGAATAACAACGCAGTAAAAAAACGAATGTTGCAGTACACGAGGAAATATACACACTACCAACGGGGAAAAAAAACTGAAATAAATAAAGGCTGAAACACAAACTTATGGCTATAAAAGTGCTAGGTGTTTGTTTGGATGTCGTCCACAGATAAATGTACGACACCGTAAGATAAAACCAAAAAGTTATTCCAGTATGACATTTGAAGCATAGTAATAGCAAGTCAACCGGAAAAACTACTGATATTTTGTTCTCTGATGACCGCTTCGAAATGTTGGGCCGTCGCTTAACTGAGAGCACTGTGTTAGCTGAAATAAGACCAAATTTGGAAATAGCAAAAGGGAGAGAAACTAGATGGAGACATAGCATTAATCCTCTAAGCCTCCATCATTCATATGAAGCAGGTCTGGAAATTTAGGTTGCTTGGCTGGGTTGTGAAGATGACGGGAATCAGTAGTCGGATGACCTTAGTTATGTGGTTATTAAATCTATCAAAATGGTACATATGTATGCCCTCAACCATCTAAGGAATTCAGTTATCCCTCACCTACTTATCCTGTCTCCTCTAATGCACTTTTGTCTAATTCGGTACTCTCTTTTATCTATTTAATTCTTCTTTATGTGCTGTTGTAAAGCATCACAGCGTAAGCCAACATACTTCAATGTTAGATTATACTTTCATTTGTTTGTTTTTGTGATATAAGTGATATTTTATTTCATTACAGCATGCATATAACTCAACCACTTTGTCACCAGTTATATGTTCTGGGATTAGTTCATTTCAGATTTTGGGACGTTCACCAATCGTTCAAGACGGTTTGCTTGGGTTCATAGAGGACAATGGATGGATGAAAGTCAAAGATAGTGTGTAAATATGATTTTGACCATATGGACCTAGTATTCATTTGCCTAAAATTCAACAACTTTTTCTTCCATAAACAGTATTTCTTGAAACTGCTTCTATTTTCATAACTCAGCTCTGCTCATAATAAGTATAAAGAATGAGTATCCGTGGTAACCTGGAAACCATTACTTCGAGAACTGCTGCGATTCAGATTTCATTTTCAGTCATCACTTCGTATCAGTAATAACAGTCCAACACACCACGGTTATCTCACATAGTCACACTAATTATTACTATATTCACTATTATCATGATAACTTGTCACGTCCACTTACCATTTTGTAGATAATTCTTCACTTCGTTGCGTAACCGCTTTTAATCTTGTCTCCTTCATTTGAGAGCGTTCTTCATCTTGCTTTACATAACACTTATCTAGTTTGTCTAAGTTTTATATCTTCAATTTCCTTTGCATTCCAAACCGGAAAGTCTTTTTGGTCTTCGGAACTTTAGTTGATATCTTAAAACGCTCCATATAACGTATATTAATATTTATCAGTAATAATTAACATATTGATTAAGGCTGTATGCAGTTAGTGACAGTGTTATGGAATAAAATGCTGTCATCTTCTGTAAATAGAATTATCATTAAAACACTTGATAAAAGTTTAGCACAAAACACGCAATTCCTAGGTAGATGGAAAACGATCAGTATCGAAGACGAACCAATCAGAAAAACATATCCACAACAAAACTCAGCTTGTCCTGACTGTGCTCTTCATACTTCTGTTGTATTGTTTTTGATGATTAACTGAAAGCAGAAAGTCGACTACCTACCAACAGTGAATCAAAAGTATTATTCAACACAAACTGTGATTACTGTAGGAGCAAGACGTAGAACTGTCACGACTTTGTAATGCCTACTGTAAAAAAGCATTAAGTGTAAAAAGCATCTGATCAAGATTATTAATTTCTCACACTATATAGGGAGAAGCAAACATTTCCTTTTTTTATGTACCTTCAAACAATCTCAGATAAGGGCATACACAAGTATCTTTCAAAGCTCTGAGTTAAATTTCATGAATAACATGACTTTTTGTCACTTAAAAAATTCTTCGAAAAGACTTCAAAAAAAGTGAGTTTGTACAAAGTCTGGGTGAATGGAATCCTAAATACTATGTAACTGCAGCTGCTTTAGAACCTCCTAAGTATTACCAGGGTTCACTGCCTAGCTGATGACTTGATAGAATATTCTCAGTTTAGTTGGATGTTATGTTAAATATGTATCAATGTGCTTACTGATATGAGTCAGAGGAAGCTTGATAGCAGCGAGATATTCTTAGATGTATAGTAATTTAGTCATTTATTTGTTGTTTACGACGAATAAGACGATGGCAATTTCCTGGGAATTTCGCAAAAATGACATACATCATATAAAGAACCTACTCGTTTTCGATTGAGCAATCCACAATAATGATCTGAAAATTCCTTGCATTCAGAAGTAGGGAAGATAAGAGGCCATAGACGTTGATTTACTAAACACGGTAATACAATAGATATGACCACAGTAAGTGCAGTCAACGTCAGGAAAGCAATAGTTAATGGGCGTAATTCCACTGTAGACCATCGTAGTAAGTAAAATACAGACACATTAAGTGATGCCATACAAATCCCAGCTAAGCTAAATCGAGTTGACTGGAGAAACCATTTCAGATGATAGATGTATCTATAATTGTTTCGATCTCTAAAATAAAGGTAGGAAAAACAGAATTAAAATCATAATCAATGAATTCGAAACTTATAGAAGTACTTTAAAAACATTTCAGCATCTGAATACTTTCTGGTTGTGCACTAACATATCTCATGTAATGATTAATAGCGCATACAACTCAATTCTTACTAGTGATTATAGAAGATTATGAATTAGATGTTTTATCATTACAGTAGATGACTTTATAATGCAATACTCTTCATTTAAAGATCCCCGGTTAAAGATGGTAAAATGAAATCTTCCATAGGATTATCATACCCATTGTAATTTATCAAAAAACTCTTCAGTCGTAGAAAGCTTTAATGCTGATGAGTTATTTTGAAGATGAACGACCTTCTTTTTAAAAGTCCATTATGCACATGAAATGAATGTTAGGGGACACCAATGTTACGATATAAACCAATAAAGTAACTAAAGTTCTTCAGTTTATTGGAAGTGTACAGTAACTAAATTAAGCAAATAAACAGCATGGTGTTTGGTGGATAGTTACATGAATTGACAAAGAGTGAATCAGTAACTAAACCTACTTATGGACCATTGTTTTCCTATTGAGCTGTTTATCAAATAGCAACGATTACTAACTTCGGGAAGCCCTGAAGTAAACAATAATCCGGAAGAGCTATTAAAAAAGATAGAAAGAAGCTTATCTAGAAAAAACATGAAAAAATCAACCCATAAAGACCGGATAAGTTTCTTATCAAACGTCCACATCAGAAGAAATAAGACGTATCCTTAATATTTACAACATCAGAGTATTCTTTAGGGTGATGAACACTTACACACATCTGTGCAATCTGAAGGACCTAATCCTCGATTTGGAACAACAGAACTGTATTATAAGGTAGACTGTAGTGAATGCGATGCCACACACATTAGAAAGAGATCACTTTAAGTACTAACACGTCTAACTAAACACCGTCAAAGTTGTAGGCAGAAACCAAAATATTCCCACGGTCTGAAAAAAAACTTGAAAAGCCTCTGCCATCGCGGCTCAAGCCTTATATTCAGGTCATAAAATATCATTCGAAAAGGCAAAAGTCTTGCAAAGGCGCTTTCTTTCTTTCAAAGAGCAGGTCGATGCAGAGGCTTTGGATATCCGTTCGTACCCTTAAGAGGTCAACAAAAAAGATGGATTGGACATCCCACAAGTATGGCAAACAATAGTGACTTCCATTGACAGTTCCGAATGACATACCAAGAGAAGATAAAACACAATTCGTTTCACACTATTCGACATGATTTATTCCGAATTGATTCATCTTTGAATAGTTCCAGATGTTATTTCGCTGAATCGTCTTAATCCGTTCAAAAAACATTGGTTTTATTTTAACAACTTATCTAAACCTATCACGTAATATCTTATTGATTTACTATTTTCATCAGTTTTACGCTCGTTTCTGAGTCACAAACATTCTATGAACCATTCTACATATTACATAAGTTAATTTGTTATCTTTTTTCTGGCGGCCTGCTTAAACTTTGGGCTACCGAAAATTTTTCACTGAATTTATTTGTCCTTCAACCCTTCGGTTTAATGTAAAATTGACTTGATAAGTAAACGTGTGAATTTATTCATGATATTTTTCCCTTTCAATTTGTTTTAATCTTTTAAACGCGTTAATTACTCTCGCACACTTCTAAAGTGGTTTCAAACTGCTATTTTCCAAGCTAACAACAAAATAAAGAATAAGCGATACGCTGGCAAGAGATAGGCTTATAAATGCACAGAAATAAAATATATTACCATTCCTTGGATAACTATGTCGAATTGCAGATTTTAGTACTGGCTGGATAAACTACTGCCACTAAAATTACGATCAGTATTCTATTCATTCACCAGTCCAAACCAGACGCTAATGCAATACCAGGTGCCTCTTTCACTTAGTGGATTTATTACTGTTATTTTTAGCCTTATTCAGATGCAATAGATATTTCGCTTAAATATATCGTACAGGAATGAATATGTTGAACTATTACGTGTTGAGAATTCCATAATTCACTACATGTCTTGTTTGGAATAAAGCTATTATTATTATTATTATTATTATTATTATTATTATTATTATTATTATTATTATTATTGACTTTTATCATAAGCATAGGTACCTTTATCGCTATCACTGTTACTGCTGTTGTTATTATTATCATTATCATAAATCGTTTGATTTTCAAATATTCATTTTACAAAATAGTAATTCATTATTACTCCCCTCTGATGAGTCATAGCTCCGTTGTATTTCAAGTAGTCGAGCTAAATTTCCCCACCCTATTTTCGCTCTACCTATCTGGCATTACTGAAACAAGCATCTCTGATCAATTTTCTAATTAACTCATTAAAATTATAATATCAAATTCGTACTCTCGAAAAAGAACCTTTTAGTAAGATAGAAACATTGAAAAATAATACAAAATATTTGTTTATTTGTTCTAATATACCACGCCTGGATTAAAATATATCATATACGATGAATCATACTAACTCGTTTTCCCAAACCATCCAGTTCATTGTTGATCAGAATACTTTCTAACTTTGTATAACTAAATTAAACCACAAATGGTCGAAAAGTAGACAGAAGTTGCGGAGAAATATGAATGCGAACATAGAAAAAGATAGTCGTTACCCATAGTCATCGACATAGCTGTTTTGTTATACTGGAGGTATGGCTCATTGACATAAATATTTGACTTCCAACTAATGAAACGAAAATTCAAATCTCACTGCACCTACTTCCTTGCCGGATAAAAGTGTGTGTGACATATAGCCCGAGAAAAGTGAATTTGCATCTGATGGCAGAACTGACTTCATATTGGTACACCATTATGAGAATAATGAAATCTAGTCAGTCAGAGTTAAACAAATGAATAAACAACCTAATAAGGAAGGAATGTCCAAAAGTTAACCTGTTCATCTGTAAAGTTCATTCGACTAAGTGTGCTGAAGAGAATTTGCATTCTAAAAATGAACCTAACTGCCTACAGACCGGAACACCCACGTTGCACAGGATATGCATACGAACTAGAGGGTAAAATTTCATGATTGTTCAATCGACCACATTTGTTTTAATCCCGATGAAATCAAAATAGAGGTATAAAAGCAGGACTATTAAATTATGGGTGACTATATGTTCACTAACCTCGCCTAGTTAACTAGTTCACTAGTTACTAGCCGGTCCTAAGCCCCGGTAAAGAGGGAAGGTTGGACATAGGGCTAGCAATTCTACCCCATAAAACAAATCTAACCGCTAAAGAAACTTCAAAGCACAAACGAAATATAAAAAATAATAACAACATTATTCCTCGCTGGAATCGGAGAGGGGAAATGACGCCGGTTGGTGAAAGCCTTCGGGAAGCCAATTAGCCTGGCCGATATGTCTTCTCTCGATGAATACGAAAGTAAACGTGGGCACAAGGAATGTCCGCACCATGTTTGAACCCAGCAAGGCAGCCGAGATTGCAAACGAGATGAAGGGGTATCATATTGAAGTGCTTGAAATTTACGAAAGCAGATGGAATGGGAGTGGACACTCCAAACTGTCAACTGGCGAATCAATAATCTACTCCGATATTGCCACTCAGACAACAACCACGGACGAATGCACTGAGTTTTGGAGTGGCTATCATGATGTCCGCAACAACATCGAAGAACCTCATGCAGTGGGAACTAATCTCCTCCAGCATCAGGATCATGACAGCAAGATTCAACTCAAAAGGAAGGAAACTCACAATCATACAATGCTACACTGGGCACCTACAAATAATGCAGAACAAGAGAAGAAGGAGGAATTCTACAGACAACTGCAATCAACACTAAACAATACCTCAGTTGGCGATATCAAAATTCTAATGGTTGGGTTGACATGAATGCCAAACTGGGAGCAGACAACACAGGAAGAGAACTAACCATGGGTCGAGAAGCACTCGGTGAGGTGATGAACGAGAATGGAGAATTGTTTGTAGAATTCTGTGCATTCAACGATTTGGTGATTGGAGTCAGGCACTGTGTTCAAGCACAAGGATATCCACAGAGCGACATGGAGTTGATTTCACCAGACACGAGGACACACTAAAAATCACATCGACTTCATCTGAATGTGAAGAAAGTGGAGACACAGTCTACTTGACACAAAGTCAAGAAGAGGAGCAGATGTAGGTTCACACCACTCACTTCACTATCTAGTGCAAGGAACCTTCCAAATCAAGTTGAAAGCCTTCAAGGAAGCTGGTGATAGACAGATCACAGTTCAAGTACAAAACTCGGAAACTGAAGGACGAAACTACAAAGGACATCTTCACTCCAGCCAGCCATCAAGACAAAATGGGAGATATCGAGGAACATCCTGAAGAAACCTGTGTGGAAGAACACTGGAAGTCTTTGAAAGAGATGTGGAAAGAAACCCGCATAACCGTATTAGGAAGGAAGAAGAAGAAGTGAAACAGGACAGGACAAGGAATGGATCTCGACGGACACATGGAAGCTGATAGAGCATGGAGAGGAGGATGGTGAAGCAGAAGATAAACCAGTGCAAGGATGAACAACGACAAGAGGAACTGAGTACAATGTATAAAACACTGGACTGGACAAAGAAGTGAAGAAGAGTGCACGCAAAGAAAAAAGACACTTCTACGAAACACTGGCAAGTGAAGCAGAACAGGCTGCAGGTATGAGAGATAGAGAATTGACAACATTGTATCAAATAACCAGGTTACTATCTGGGAGGGGAGAGATCAACACACATGAAACCAATAAAAGATGATGAAGTAAATCTAATCGCCAAAAAAGAGAAACAAAGGAAACAATGGGCTGACCACTTCAAAAAGCTCTTGAATCGACCACCACCACCACCTGCAACTCGTCCAGGAATACCACCTGCAGCCCAACCACAGAACTACAAGTGAATATAAATCCTACAACAAAAGTCGAAGTCCTGAGCCTCATAAAGCTACTGAAATGTGGGAAAGCAGCAGGACCAGATGGAATCCCGTCAGAAGCACTGAGAGCAGACGCAGAGACAACAGCGGACATACTCACACCACTATTGCAGGAGGTTTGGAAGGAAGAGAAATTTACCTGCAGGTTGGAAGAAAGGCTGTCTTGTTAAACTCCTGAAGAAGGGTGACCTAAGAATTTGCAAGAAGTGGCGAGGAATCATGCTCCACTCCTGTCCACCCCAAGCAAAATATTAAGCTTCATCATCCTGGAGAGACTAAACGACACGCTAGATTCAAAACTATGACCGTACCAAGCAGGCTTCAGGAAGTACAAATCATGTGCGGACCAAATTGCAACGCTACGCTTCACATCATCATAGAACAGAGTATAGAATGGCAGTCAACTCAACTCAACCTCAACTTCATCGACTTTGAGAAGGTCTTTGGAAACTGCTTCAATACTACCGAATACCACAGACCTTTATCAGCCTCATTCAACAACTATATGAAGACGCCACATGCCAGCCAAGTAATTCACAATGGGAAGCTCAGTGACGCCTTTGAAGTGAAGAGAGGAGTGAAACAAGGTTGCCTACTATCACCCATGATATTCCTAATTGTGGTCGACTGGACTGGAATGGATCATGCAACAAACCGTGAGGAGCGAGAAGAGGGGATACACTGTTTGACCGCGGAAAAGAGCCTAGAATACTTGGATTTCGCTGATGACTTGTGTCTGGTGTCGCACAAACTTGAAGATCTACAGGCGAAAACTAACAAGTTAACAGAAGAGGCAAGGCGGGGCAGCGAAGAGGGGACTACAAGTGAACGTAGAGAAGACAGAGGTGATGAAGATACCCAACCATTAACTACAGCAACAACAAACTCCAATGACCATTAACGGGAGAAACTTAAAGGAAGTAGCCTCCTTCACCTATCTAGGCAGCACTGTTTCAACTACAGGTGGTGGTGGCACAGACGAGGATGTCGAAGCCAGTCAGAATCGGAAAAGCAAGACAGGCATTCATTAGCCTGAAACCAGTGTGGAGATCTTCTGCACTCCACTCAGCATGTAGAACAAGATCCGGATTTTCAACACCAACGTCAAGTCAGTGCTCCTGTATAGTATAAGGACTTGGCGCGTTACGAAAGGGATTTCCAACAAACTAAATACATTCATCAACCACTGCCTACTCTGGCTCGTTACTGAAGCTCAGATGGCCAGAATAATAAGAATCAGCAACAAGGAACTCTGGCTGGGAACGAACTAACCAAGAACCTATCGCCCAACAAATATGTAGAAGAAAGTGGAGATGATTTGGATTGGGCATACACTGAGAAGGCCGACTGGGGATATCACGCGTCAGGTCAGGCCCTCGAGTGGAACTCCGATGGGAAGCGACGAGTTGGGCATCCCAGTTGAGGGTGACATGGAGTAGATCGTGTGAGGAGGAAATGAGAGCTTGTGGGCTGTCGTGGAGCCAGGTTCGAAAGATTTCAGAGAACAGAGCGCATTGTAGACGTGCTGCTAAAGCCTTATGTTCCATTAGGAACCCAAGGGACTAATAATAATAATGATAATAATAATGATAACAGTAATAATAATAATAATAATAATATGTTCAGTAACCCGTGAAAGGTCAACATAAAAGTCCCAGAATCAAGATCAGAATAAGTAAATAAATTATACCTAAAATTACAAGGTGATTGTACATCTAAAACCATCTGGTTCAGTAATTTCTCGACTTTACATTCTTCGCGATATTCAGAAATAACATATTCTTCTTCGTCTAATACTTGATATAAATAATTCGCCACATCATTGGGTTGTAAAATGGTTAACGGAAATTCGTCAACCGATGAAGAATCAGAACAATATTTACAGTGTGATTGTTTAATCTGACTTCGTTAATTCTATACGCAATACTAACGTCTGTGGAAATCAAATGTTTTTTTGAATCCTACATCACTCTTCATAAATTTTCCTTTGAAAGAAACAAACTGTTTTTGTCATTCCACTGAGATGGACAACCTTGTGAAGTACATAGCCGTCATGTTTTTCATTTCTGATTACTTAAAAATTACTATCACTATTACTAATTTAGGGCGCACAATTTGTCCCTTTAAACTAATAATCATCACTTTAAAGTAACCAGATTCATGCAGATAATTATTACTGTAAGCTACCGTAGACTCCACAAAGCTACTTTTAGAAACTAGCCAACAATTAACAGTAGCTAAGGATTTATTCGCCGCCAACCAACTTTAGGTCCAAGTTCACTACTCTCAGTGATTTTCTTACGACTATGATACCCAACGCTGCACTTGCGTAAGTGATACAACACAGTTGTACTCAATTTCCAGAGTCTGAAGATATTCGATATGACGTCATCGTGTTTATAGTTGGTAATGCGCCTGAGCACCGCAGAAAGCTTTCTGTATAAGAATAAAAGCATGCGGATATCATTAAAGGTGTCAAAAAGGTATAACTTATTACCTTAAAAGTTGAATACTTTCTCTTTTCTTGAATATCGGATGTAAATACGAACAAAAATCAGTGTCAAAAGGTATCACATCACATGACTAAACTAACAAGTGCACACTACGATTTGAAAAAGCTGTAATTTTAAAAAAAGGCAAAACGCAAAACACAATTGATGGTAAAACTTGCGTTTCACTCCATCCACGTATATCCGACTGCAAAGGACTATAAATCCATACAAGCATATACTTATCGACAAGAAATTTGAACAAGAAGTACACCATACCGAAGAAGTAGATTAATGGACATATTGGAGCGTAGGCAATGATAATTGTATGGACAACTGAAAGAAAGGCATGATTTTCTCCGAATCCAAATGTTTCCGGCTGAGGCTATTTTACAAAAAAGGTATTATGGGTGAACAGTTTATACTTAGAGTTTTGGAGGTTTGAAGTAAATAATAATTACCAGAAGTGTAGAGAAACAACGGAACACATGACTCATGATCTGTCGTCGGCAATATGAGAATGCAGGTGAGATGAATCTACCATAAAATCATCCTATGCCAGTCAGCTATGAACTTCAGCCATATAATTCAACTTAGTAAATAACTTCAGATTCTACAATCACTTCCAACTCACTTATTTGAAGTGTCATTCGAAACTCCTGTTTTACTACTATTATTACAAAAGTATTACTATGAAAGAACTAATAGTAAAAAAGGGAAATATTCACAAGATATAAGCACGAAAAGGTAACCACTATCACTCCTAGAGTTGTATTAACTACTTTGGGTAACTGTTGCTTAGACTGAATCAGAAGAGGCAAGAATACATTTTTCTCGGGAAACTTAATTTCACTCTAAAGACTACATTAAATGAGAAGCTGGTCGAAATGAAATGAGTAATTACGGTGATGTGCTCTATGGTTTAAAAATTCCTTAAAAATAAACTTAAAGCTTTTTTATTTACGCAAAATAGTTTTCTTAAACATATTGGTATGTAGTTTCTAGTTAACTTCATTAGATTTTGATGAAGTTTCTACTAATCTTTACCATTTTTTGCAAATTATAAATTTTTGAGTAAGAGCAGCTTGCTTAGTTTGGAGCTATCCTCGATAAATTGAAGTATCATGCATACCGTACACACGAAAATATTTGTTCAGTAACCAGTACGAAAGTGTGTAATGAAGACAAATTTAGTACCATAAATTGGTGAACGATCACCAAGAGGTGGCAAACATGATTTCTGTACATCACCAATTAAAAGTTTTACCGTCATACGACCGAAAATGGAGATATGGCAGTACTCCAATTAATTTCTGTTAGTTTCATTATACTTTCTACATTATTTTTGATTTTAACATGATATTTAGAAAGCCCACAAATTATTTTTTGTAGTAGATTGAGCGGTAATCAACAACCATTATGATGACTGTTGTGATAGTACTGAATGTATCATTTTTAGGTGTTAAATGGCTGTGCCACTTCTACAAAAGTTTAAAAAAATGTCAGTGTAGAGAAAAAAAATCAGTTATAAGTTGAACGTCATGCACCAGTATAAGTGATCAATTTTCTAAAGAATTCAATTGAAATGCTGTTATGTTTATGTTTCGGTACTTGCTATAGTTGACATAATAATGTGACCGCTAAAATTCAATGAAATGAGGTTGTTGGTGACAGACTTCAGAAATTATTGTGAATTTGAATTGAATGTTGATGACAAAATATGTTAGTGAAACACCTTGTAATAGCAATCTAATTTCAAGAAATATTTCGTCCAGACATGTTAAGTAATCAATATTTACAGCCACTTCCAAATTACATGGTTCCTTGATACTGAGCAGCATCAAGCTGTTTGATCTAGATGCATATCAGTATGTTTTCGATGACCATTCTGCTGCAGTTATATTATGCTTGCATAGATGAATGTTTCACCAGAAATAAAATCTTATTCCTATCAAAACTGAGAACACATGAGGCAAACAGGACTTATGATTATCGGTACACTGAATTGGATTTTATTTTGAAACACTTGTCTTACTTTCTCCATAAATTAGACTGTTTTGGTCATAAATGACTTGTTTGTGGCTAGCAGTGGGACCCAGGACACATCTTTCGTCCTATTTAGGAGTCCTCAGCTGGATGTACGTGCACGCAAATCAGCAATGCTGTTCACTCAGAAACTCGAACCTCGTACCCGTCGCTTCAAACGCCGGAGGGTTATCCATTAGGCCACTAAGGTACGATAGTCACCTGTTGTACAACGCGTATTAGTTATTACTATTTTTTGATACTTGTAGTTCTCCACTGTTTGACTAGATTGAATTGGTCGACCTTTGTTGACATATACGCTCTTGCATGGAGCCTTTGACGTTGCCTGAATAATTATTGCTATAGTTGACTTATTTGTACTGGGTGATGATTGAAAGTGAGATAAAAATCTGGACCACGGCCGGATTCGAACCAGCGACTTAACTGTGGCTAGCAGTAGTATCCAGAATGTGCGTTTCGTTCTATTTGAGACTCGAGTTACGCCAAAATAGGTCAGTCACTTCAATCCAGTATAACAAAGGAGACTTACAAACATCAACAAATATTAATAAATTGTTATAGCTATTAAGCTTCGAACCGGACGAAAAATAAGCTGTGAAATGAGATGCTCAATAAAAACTAAATGCGATCATAGGAATTTCTTTTAGGCTTATAATTGCATACACCACTTGTGAATAAATGAGAATTCAAAAAAAGGCATTAACAAACAATTACTTGGGAGAAAACCTTTCGTTCTGCCAATGTGTGGGAATGACAAATTCGCTTTATCAATTGTGGAATAATATGATTCAGACGAAGAATTTGTAAACCCGCTCCAAGAAGTCCACAGGTCACTACATAATTCATAAATAATGAACCACTATCCGGTAAAAATATGCACTCCAGTCGAAAAGGAACATAATATGTGAACGGATCTGTAGGATTAGCCTCTGTGTTTATAATTTGATACAATAAGGCTGGAAAGCTAAAACAATATACATGCATTGTCCAATAGTAAATTACTCATATATTTTTTTCTTTAGCGCAATGTATATGAAAATATGGGAACATATAACGATACAAAGAAAAATTTATGACCAACTTCAAAGGAAAGGTTAAGCGATAACTACCGGTTGAACAAATTGCAAATTATTATGCAGCTGTATTCAAACTTGATATTTCTCATAGGTCAGAATCATTTCATCAACCAACGACCTGGATGGGTTCTAGAGACAATAGGAATCAACGGTTGTAGACTCTTGGTGATATGACTGAAAATCTATCGTAATGGTGTTGGTGTATTTACTCTCTGATACCCTCAAAGGTTCTACCATTTTCATTACCGTTCATTTACTTATTGTCTCCCAACAAACACACTATTGTCTATCTTAATATAACCCTCTTTCTATACCGTGATTCTTCGGATGCTTCTGTGAAGTGTAGCAACTTGAACCAATGCATTTCTGAGTCAGGTTCTACGTTGATTTATCTGTTTGTTTGCCTGCTACTTGTGTGATTCACTGAATTAACTCTGAACTTGAAAAGATTAAGAGCAACAATTTGAGCAAAACAGCATGTTACTATTTTATTTTGTCGGTTTGTTTTCAGCTACTTGGGACTTAGATCATCAAAAACATGTGATCATCATAAAAGTTTAACATAAGTCATTTACATAAGGACCAACATTAAGTCAGGTAGCTATTGAAGCATGCAGGAATCGATATTATGTAGCAAGAAACAACCGATCGCAAGAAAATTAAGACAATATACCGAAACCTCATTATTATACCCACTATACGATTGAAAATTCGCGAAAATTAACAAGGAACAAAATATAGTTATATATATATATATATATATATATATATATATATATATATATATATATATATATATATATATATATATATATATATATATATATATATGATTACATAAGTAAGTTAACAGATAAATATGTTAAGGGAATAAATTATGTGACATATACTGACTTCAACTCAATTAATCAAGATGAATATGTCAGGTTTAATTAAAGACGATGTGGCAAAACAAGAATCAAAGTCGACATGTAATTTTTAAGGAAGGATAGTGAAAGCAGATAAAGGTAAGAGTTTGGAGTCGCGTTACCGAGGTACGGACAGATTAAGGACGGCTTCCTTTGGAACACAAAAATCAGATTTAAGGAGTTTGCTGGCTAAAGCCTCAATGAATCCGAGCTAGTTTTCTTTTATTATTTATTTTAAAAGACTACAACACGTCCCTATGATGTTTTGTATACACCAGATGCCAGGTAGTTGGAATGCAGTAATTTTCGTTTTCTCTGAGTCATAATATTGTGAGGACATGATTAGAAAATCTGAAGTGGGGCGTTATTTCTGTTCTTCCAAATGACGTGCGTTAGCTATACGTAAATTGATGCATGCGGTTGGAGGTAGCCTAAGAAGGGTACCTGTTGACTTTTTAGTGCAGTAGTTAATGCGTAGTTTTGAACAAAGAAACCAGCTTGGCAGACATTAGTAGCGCTGTTTTTAGTCTTCAGCGGGAAGTCCTTTCAATATCACTATCTTTAAAGATAAGACGAATAATTACCGACTTTTTTGAACGGCAAAATTGTTTGTTATACTTTCTTCAGCTCCACCATACTTACCAATAAACTTCTGCGGATATCGATTGTTTCACTACGTTGTCATACGCAATTTATCACTCCCATACATTTTCGCTCTGTAAAATAAGGTTCTGACCAGTGCTCTTTTGTAGCTCACTGACAGAAAGATGTTGAAAATTTTCGTGTTGCGGTGAATTAGTCGTAGATAGCATAGATTGCAATGGGATATCCTGATTATTTATTAATAGTTCATACATATAAGGTAGATGAGACCCTCAAGGCTTCATGTCATTTTATGTAGAATTATCAATCAGTTTCTTTGTCACGATTTCTTTCTGGATCCATATAATTCGCTTTTCTGTATTTTCATCATACTTTTGTTGAATTTATTGAACTTGAATTTCGATGAGCTAGTAATAAATGAGTGAATTCATCTTGATAATCCAATATTCTCTATTCATTATCACCATACACGAGTCTTTATTCATGATAAATAGTTCCTACGTTAAAAACCAGCTACGTTTCTTACAGTCTAAGCAACCGAGTATAATGACAAATCCGCATACAAAAAGTATGGCTTATAGCCTAATACATGAACTGGAATGAGTTGACTTCTTAACTCAGACATATCTCAGTAAACCAATTTAATATAAGGTTGCAGGGAGAGAAGGGTTGGTGATCACTTCAATCAAACAGAACAACATTTCATAACAAAAATTAGAATGATTCTAACATTGAATGACTGTAAAAGTTTGGAGAATTAACCTTCCCGATAAGTTCAGATCCAGAAGAGTGAATCACTACTCAGAATTTGGGTTACTTCCCTCTGATTGTCACAAACTGCTGAAGACCAATTTGAATACGGTTCTTCAAACGAAATTCATTAAGCAAACTTTGAATATCAACAAGCATTTCACTCAAATATGAACATCGGAACAAATTGTGTTCGTTCGCGACAATGAGTAACAAAAGTTTGTTTCCTATGACTACTATAGTGTTAAGTCTGGACACAATTGCATTCGAAGCATGGAAGGCAGAAGACAAAAGTCTACATGTATGCTAAACTTAGGATATGTAAGTTTTTGGCTTTAACAGAAACTTGTAGTATACATGTCCTGAGTGTCTGCAGTCTTTTAATTACCGTAAAGCTTTTGGAGCGTAAAAACTTCTGTTGGTCTAAAAATGTTTGTTGACAAAAGAGTCAACTTAGATGAAACATCTTCAATTTAAAGGCATGGTGGCAATATAGTTTGGTTACTCTAGTATGTACGCTGCATGTTTATACTGTTAATTGGGGCATGGAAGATATATTTAATCAGTGTCTGTATGTGGTACATACTCCACAACATCCAGTAGCGTGATATGGGGGGAGGTACATAAATCGAAGGAAGTGCAAGACAATCTATACTACCTACGCTTTAACAAGCATACGAAAGATGACCAGGAAACCAAATTTAGAATGCCAAAGAGATCTTGATATTTTGGTGACTCAAAGTTTTTCGGTAGGACCAAAATCTAGTAATAACATTTAAAGGATGTTACGGTTCATTGAAATGTGTTCAATACATAAGAAAAAGTTATCTCATGGGTTAATTAATCTAGCTTGGATGATTCGCAAACATTTCACGTATATTACCTCGCAGTGTGAGTTGACCGCTATAATCCAGTTGTAGAAGGTGAAGCAATTGTTAATACATGATGTAGTGTAATGGAATGGTGGATATTTGTGAAACGTTGCTATCTAACTATACACCGAAAATAAACAAGGTGGGTCCTATAACCAGTATGGCTTTGCAAATCAGAACTTTGTAAAATATTTGAGTTAAAACCAGTTGTGACCCTTCTACGTGTAATCACGAAAATAAACTAATCAGCAACAAGTTTTTCTTTGAATGCAAATTTAAACGTTAATTTTCTCTCTTATGATAATGAATGGTTAACTCCACATGCATGTTACTATCATATTACTATATACAGATTGTATCTTGGTCCTTCATATGTATGCAGTTTATGTCTAAAACAAGATAAAGACAAATATCCATTATCAAAAAATGACTGTATTAATTGAACATACCCTGTTATTCCAAGTGAAGGGAACACAAGCACAGTGAAAAATAAAAACCAAAACGCATTTCGATATATAACACTTTCTAACCCTCCACGTGTTTTATGTCTTGTCCAGTACTCACTCGTAATCACCAAACGAGTAAGAAGTACTGATGCACCAGCCAAGATTGCGGATGGAAACCATTTAAAAATGAATGGACGCTAGAAAAGACAATAATAAGAAATAACGGTCAAGTAGTTAGCTCAATAGTATAGAAAGTAATTAATTCTGTAGGTCATCCATTTTAGTTTATAATTAAATTTAGGTGCAGTATTTTTAGTTCCAAAACTCGAATAAATAACTAACTGGATTAACTTGGTAACAATTCAATGCTCCATTGGTGCAATGATTAAAGTTTAATTTCAAAGCCTTTCGGAATGGATTCATGAGAGTAAATCCTGGAAAATGGAGAGTTCATGTACAGTACAGATACTTTATTTGAAATAAGCGCAAGATAGTAATTCACTTTTACTTATCGACTGAGGATTACATGAATAGGTAAACTAACCACGCTCATGCACAAATATATATTAGTAAAAATGTACTAGCAGAATTACCAGTTATACATATATATATATATATATATATATATATATATATATATATATATATATATATATATATATATATATATTACACTCACACAAGCTTTGCACATAGAACTGACGTAACTGTCTCTACCACTTGTCATATTCTCTTTAGATTAAAACATGTACGAGAATAGAATCCAAATGCAGTCTGAACAAAGACTTGAACAATAAAAAAGTTGCATAAAACCCTACCAAAAACAATCCTTCAGATTCACTAGTTCACTTATATAGATAAGTAGAATACAGTTGAAAAAAATATGTTACTTCGCTTGAAAACAATAGTTCAGGTATTCCAAAAAGAAATCAGGAAATCATAGATTTCATAACCGAAGAAACTGAAACTGAGTGATAACAACATACATCTGGAATATTCTGAGATTCTCTTGAATTTCGCTTATTCTTTCATGATAATCAATTCAACATAGAAACGTTCCTGAAGTCAATCAAAGCCATCACAGTATTAAAGTAAACAACAAGCAAAAACGACCAAAAGATCTAGTGATTCTCTATACATAACAAAACAATGCAGTATCCAAAACTTCACCAGTATATCATTCGACTAAAACAAACCAAGGGATAGTACTAACAAAAGTAACTGTTAAGACATGATTAACGGCGAACTGGTTATTCGAATTCCATTGCATCACAGTGGAACAACACCTACAATTCCTCAGACACTACTACCATTTATCTTCACAGGTAGCAGCGCGAAAATGTTACAATGAGAAACTAATCTGTAAGAGCACATTAGACAATTAAAAGAATTCAAATAACATTATTAAGATAAACTGATTCTAATGTAATAGTAGATAGAGGTGATGAAGATACCCAACCAACAACAACAAGCATCAATCACCATGAACGGGAAAAACCTAAAGGAAGTAATCTCTTTGACCTACCTCGGCAGCATCGTCTCAACTACAGGTGGTGACACAAATGAGGATGTTAAAGCCAGGATCGGAAAAGCAAGACAGGTCTTCATTAATCTGAAATCAGTATGGAGATCCGAATTTCCAACACCAATGTCAAGTCAGTACTTCTATATGGTTCAGAAACTTGGCGCGTTATGAAAAGTATTTCCAACAAACTACAGACATACATTAACAGCTGCAGCCTACGCTCACTCGATACTCAGGATCAGATGACCAGAATAGTAAGAATGAGCAACAGGTAACTCTGGCCTACCAGCGAACCAATCAAGAACCTATCGCCCAACAGATATGCAGAAGAAAGTGGAGATGGATTGGATGTGACGTACACTGAGAAGACCGAGTGAGTACATCACGCACCAGGCGAGGCTCTCGGGTGAAATTCAAAGGGAAAACAACGAGTTGGGCGTCCAGCTGAGGGTGACATGGAGGAGATCATGTGAGGAAGAAATGAAAGCTTGTGGGCAGAAGTGGATCCAGGTTAAGAAGACTGCAGAGAAGAGAGTGAAATGGCGATGTGCTACTGAAGCCCTATGTTCCACTAGGAACCTAAGGAACAAACAATAATAATAATAATGCAATAGTAAAATAATGTCAGTAGTACACACTAACTCTGGTGTTCAGTCATGATTACACAAAAAATGCAAGCGGATACAGAATTCATTAAAAAAAGATTACACATACGCTTAATCATACTTTCATTAAAATGTGAGAAAAATACAAACATACAAAATACCAATATTTTCTTTAGGAGTAACATTCTGAACTTACTGCGATTCGACCAAGCCAATCAAACAGTCCAGTGAAATTCACTATGGTAAGTATGTAGACAGGTGATGTTAATAGGAATGCCATTAGCACAACGCCTAAACGAATTCCAACCACACGTAACCACCATGCACATCCATGATATGTTGTGGAAGTCAAATTTAGCCTACATAGATTTATGAGTTTAAAAGTAGATTAACTTGTTCAGAAGAGTTCAAAAATATTATTCAGAATAAATATAACAGGTGATTTTAAATGTAGTTAGAATTTCGTAGGAATTAAATTACTATACAGAACAACATTGGTGTGGACAGAAAATTTCTTGTTAGACCGATTACAGGGAATGGTGACAAAATATTACAACCCAGAATTCAATGGTGTTATAAAACAGTATGCGTAACGAAATTCGATATGGACTATCCTCCGGTTTCTTTATTTACTTTTGCTTTCTAACGGTATTTCTTTCCAATGTTCTCCGTTTCGTCTCTAGAACATCTACTAGTCAAACAGTTACTCTAATTACTTTTGGCGATGACGCTGTATTACATTCTACATGTATGCACTTTTATAGGTAGCCAGTACCACACTAACAAGTATTTTTTTTCAAAGCACTTCCAAAGATAGTTCAGGGAAGAGACTAGACGCGGCAAAGAATATATACTTTTTGGACATTCAAAGTGTTTTATATTTTAAAATGTTATATTAGCAGACAAATTACTGCAGGACAAAAGGCTAAAATTATGTTTTTGCGCATTTTGAAACTGTTAACGGTGGGCACGAATAATTTTACTCAGCTCGAAACAAAACCTTCGAATTCAGAGCCGGTATACTATTATTTGGACCATTGGAAACGTTTTCAGAGGTTGATATTATTAAATATCAAATTTTGATATAGTACAGTGAGAAGAAGACATTACTCTGGCTTCACTTGATCCAAAGTGATCAGTTCTCTGCCACATTGCCCAAAACCACCAGCAATAAATCTCAGATAATGTTTGACAACTCGATTACCAAAAACTTGAACAAAATCATCAAAGCAGGACAAATAATAAAATAAGACGAACGAAAGAAACCCATTCACCAGTCTTGTGCACGTTCGTGCAGTAGGCATTCAGCCACACCTATCATATGAGGAACAATGCTACCATCTATTTGACAAAACTTCGGTAGGAGGCGCTATTCGAACTCGTGACCGAAAATACAGAAACCAAATACTCTACTGCGATCCCAAGTCTCACTGCCGGGGACTTCAGCTAACAGAATACCTAGAAAGCTTTCGAAAAAACTGAGATATCTCGTAGACTCATGCGAACATTCCATCAAATCATTGACAGAAATTTTGGAAAGGATGAAAAGTACTAACATACATAAGTATAAATTATTAGCGTACCTAAAAGTCACAGCATTATAGATATCAGATGAACCACAACTGGATAAGGATATTATGTCTTTCCTCTGTATTGACGATAGGAGGCTTTCGGAAGACGTAATATTCCAGTGTTTAAGTCTGATGGAACTTCTTGGACGTCGTCAAACAACATACTTTCAATTTACTGGTAGGATGCACAAACAGATTAAAGGAACTTCAGTGGAATGACCGATATCTGGATTAGTTTCAAAAACAGTTATGCAGAGACTGGAAACCATAATTTAAATCGTGATCAAACTGAAAATAGGGAACCGCCATGTGGATGATACTCCTATTATCATTAAAAGGATGAAATACAAAACACGCGCAATTTGATCAATATCGTTTTCAATTACATCAAATTCACAATGAAGAAGTCGAACAACAAAATGCCATTTCTGGATGTTTCAATCAGTAGAACCATCACTCGAAAATTGAAGACAGGAAGCCAACACACTAATTACATCCTAAACTGCATTAGGAACAAATTAAAAACGCGTACAGACTTTATTCGAAAGAGCAAGAACAAACTGCAGTAAAATAACTTCACGGGGGAACGAAGAAAATTTCTTTATATCCCTTCTAAAGAAGAACGGTTACCCAAGCAACTTCACCAGACGATACCTATTCAGTTCACCATCAACTAAAAACTCATCCACGCAAATCAGAAAAAGGATCATCCCAGCATATATAGAAAACATCTAAGATCACAACAAACTTACTAAGACCTCAGACGACCCCCTCCATGTCACCCTCAGCTGGGACGCCCGACTCGTCGTTTACCCTATGGATTCCACTGAAAGACAAGGCGCACGATGTGCCCAGTCGGCCATCTCAGTGAATGCCCAATCCATCTGCACTTTCTTCTGCATATTTGTTGGGCGATACGTTCTTGGTTGGTTCGTTGGCAGGCCAGAGTTCCTTGTTGCTCATTCTTATTATTCTGGCCATCTGATCTTCAGTATCGAGCACAGGCAGCCAATGATGTGTGTCTGCCGTTTGTTGGAAATGCTTTTCGTAACCTGCTAAGTCTCTGAACCATCACAAGGAAGCACTGACTTGACATTAGTGTTGAAAATCCGGATCTTCTTTATGCTGAATGTAGTGTATCAGATTTTCACACTGATTTCACGCTGGTGAAGACCTACCTGTCTTGCTTTTCCAATCCTGACTTCGACGTCCTCATCTGTGCCGCCGCCTGTAGTTGAGACGATGCTGCCGAGGTGGGTCAAAGAGATTACTTCCTTTAGGTTTTTCCCGTTCATGGTAATTTATACTTGTTGTTGTTGGTTGGGTATCTTCATCACTTCTATCTTCTCTACATTCACTTGAAGTCCTGTATTCGCTGTCCCGCCTCTTCTGTCAACTTGTTGGTTTTTGCCTGTAGATCTTCGAGCTTGTGTGACAAGACATTGGATATAAATCATGGTCGGCTAAATCTAAATCTTCTCCTGGGGTCTTTTCACCGGTCCAGCGTATGCCCATCTTCTCGCTCCTCACAGTTGTCTGTTGCATGATCCAGTCCACCACAATCAAAAAGATCATCGGTGATGATGGGTAGTCCTGTCTTACTCCTGTCTTCACTTCACTTCAAAGATGTCACTGAGCTTTCCATTGTGAAACACTTGGCATGTAGCATCACATAGCATATCAGATAGCTGTTGAATGAGGTTGATAAAGGTTTGTGGCACTAAAACCGTAGTGTTGGAGCAAATGCCAAATTACTTCTGGGTCGACGCTGTCGAAAGCTTTTTCAAAGTCGATGAAGTTAAGATAGAGAGTTGGCTGCCATTCTACGCTCTTTTGCAATTTGACCCGCACATGATTTGTTCTTCCTCGAGGCAGTCAGCCCGTTCCAGTCGTCATTTTTAATCCAGAGCATCCTTTAGTCCCTCCACGATGCGGCTTAATATTTTGCTTGCTTTGGGTGGATAGGGAGAGGAGCATGATTCCGTGCCACTTCTTCCAAAGACTCAGCTCTGTTCACCCTTCTTTGGGAGTTTTACAAGAAAGCTCTTCTTCCTATCAGTTGGCAGGTACCTTTCCTTCCTTCCAAACCTTCTGCAATAGTGGTGTGAGTGAGTCCACTGTTGTCCCTGTGTCTGTTTTCAACGCATCTGGAGGAATTCCATCTGGTACTGCTGCTTTTCCGGATTTCAGCAACTTTATGGCGTTCAGGACTTCACTTCTGCTACTGTCAGAGGGTTTATATTCACTGGTAGTTCTGCGGTTGCTGGTGGTATTTCTTGACGAAATGCGGGTAGTGGTGGTGGTCGATTCAAGAGTTTTTTGAAGTGGTCAGCTCATTGTTTCCTTTGTTTCTCCTCTTTGCTAACTAGGTCTCGTTAACTAACTTTCATTGGTTTCATATTTCACGTGTGTTTCTTCAGGGATGTCGCTTAATGTTTCCCATTTCTTCCTGATAGCTGACGTGAAGATGCTCATTGAAGTTTCGTCCTTCAGTTCAGTTTCTCTTCTGGGTGTTCAACTTCAACTGTGGTCTATCACCAACTTCCATGAAGGCTTTCAACTTCATCTTCAAGGTTCCTTGCACTAAATAGTGAGTGGTGTGAACCTACATCTGCTCCCCTTCTCCATCTCATCTTGTATCCAGTAGGCTGCGTCTCCACTTTCTTCACATTGAGATGAGGCCGATCTGATTTTTAGTGTATGCTGGGATCCGGTGAAATCAAATCCCTGTCGCTGTCTTGTGAATATCCTTGTGTTTGTACACAGTCCCTCGCCTCCAATCACCAAATCATTAGGTGAGTGGAAGTCTGCAAACAATTCTCCATTCTCGTTCATTTCACCAACTACTTCTCGACCCATGATCAGTCCTCTTCCTGTGCTATCCGCTGCGACTTTGACATTCATGTCACCCCACACATTAAAAATAATTTTGATGTCGCCATCTGCGGTGGGGTCTTGTCCAGCACTGCTTGCAGTTGCCTATAGAATTCCTTTTCCTCTTGATCCGCATTATTTGAAGGTGCGTAGCGTAGCATTGTATGATTGTGAGTTTCCTTCCTTTTGAGTTGAATCTTGCTGTCATGATCCTGATGCTGGAGGAGATTGGTTCCCATTGCCTGAGAGCCTTCGATGTTGTTACAGACATCATGACAGGCACTCCAAAACTCATTGTGCTCGTGGTTGTTGTCTGGGTGACAATATCGGAGTAGATTATTGACTCTCCAGTTGACAGTTTGGAGAGTCCACTCCCATTCCATCTGCTTTCACAGATTCCTATCACTTCTATGCCATACCTTCTCATCTCTCCTCTGGTAATCTGAGTAGTCTTGTTAGGTTCATACATGGTGCGGACATTCCATGTCTCCACGTTTACTTTCGCTTTCATCGAGAGAAGAGAAGATACATCGGCTAATTGGCTTCCCGAAGACTTTCACCAACCGGCGTTAATTCGTCTAGCCGATTCCGATGAGGAATAAGTTTAATTTTATATTTTATAATATTTTTGTGGTTTGCGGTTTCTTTGGCGATTGAATTTGTTTTACGGGGTAGAGTTGCTAGCCCTATGCCCAACCTTCCCTCTTTACCGAGGCTTAGGACCGGCTGATAACTAGTTAACTAGGCTCACTAGCACACTGTATATTGAAGTTAGTGTTGATGATGCTGTATGGAAAACTTCGTGAATAGACCATCCAACTCAGAGAATGCAACATAATCAAAAACATTACATTACACAGCTGATAATTAAAGTCAAATAAGACACGAAATTTAACTATTCGCTAACAAATGTATATTGCTCATCATTTTGATAGCTTAAGTGGTTTGTTAAACACATGTTGTAGAATAAGAATCGAACAGCTTGCATGGAAAAACTATGAGGTTGGATACTAGAAAACCATCCGAGTCTATCTATACCACAGTGTTTTTGTAGTGCTGTAGTTTTTGCAGAATAGTTTTTTTGTTGTCATGTCTTCATATTGAGTGGCATTTTTATGGTTTGAACCGTGTCGGATTTGCCATAGATGTATGTAGCCCCAAAGTTACCTTGGAACGTATAGACACGTAACTATTCGCAGACAAAGGCCTCTAAATTTACGCATTTAATATTTTAGCGGGCTGACCCATTGTTCAATCAGGATTTAACTTTCAACACAACAGCCGATAAACACCCTCAAGGAGTCCTATTATCGAGTCACTAAACGGCTAAGCTAATCAGGAGTGTCCATTGACACGTGCTACTGCTCTTCTTCCTGAAAATGTCAAGATATTCCACCAAGTGTATGAGATATTAGGCTGGTTTTCGGTCAACATGAAGTTGCTTTCCCACGCTCTTTGCCTATGAACACCATTTTGTGCATAACATGAGAAACTGTGACAAGTTAATGAAAAGTAACAAGGCATGTCAAGCCCTTGCAGAAGTCCAGAAAGTGGTAGGTAACTAGAAACGAGAAAGGGTAGTAGAACCAGATGGACTAGTTTCTGAAGTATATAAGAGTGGTGGTAGAATATTTTGAGTCAAGTTTACTGAAGTATTGACAAGTGTGTGGGAGTCAAATATGATCACAAATAAATGGTCTTAATCACTGATTATCCAAATCTTCAAGATAGCGAGAAGTCCTCTTGTGATAACTACAGAGGTATCAGTTTGACAAATATAGTGACGTAAATTCTACGTTCCCTAAGCATTAGACGCCTGAGTGAAGCTCAGGAACAGCAAGCGTAAGAAAAACAAGAAGGTTTCAGACCTGGCAGTGAGTTAAGGACTAAATATCCACGCATCATCCTTTTCTGGAACACAGGCACGCTTACCACCGCCCCACAGTAGCTATATTTCTCGACATGAAGCCGGCATTTGACTCCGTCGACTGAGAAGTCTTATGGTAGTATCTCTCACTGAAAGGAGTACCAAGTAAGTACATCACCTTATTGAAGGCTCTCTATTCCAACACTCGTGGGCATCGCCTATGGCGAGTTGTCCGAGGAGCTGTACTAGAGTGGTGTCCTCAATCGCTGCCCACTGTCTCCATTCTTATTCAATTTCATCACACATATTCTTATGGAGGTCTCCCTCTCGCCACTTAACCACACAGAGCTTGACCTTATCAAAGGAGAATTCTCGTTAAACTCAGAATATGCAGATTGCATAATCCTATTAGGTAAAGACACTAACAAGATGCAGAGTCTTCTAAACAATTTACCTTCACTGGCAATTTGAGAATACTTGGGATGCGTTTCTCACCACCCAAATGAAAATTGTTCTTTCAGGACTGATATTCAACACTACCAAGACCAACAACAGACAGTGTAGTGGTTGAGTGTGTCGACCACTTCACTCACCTGGGAAGTAGAATCAGCCCTACCCTCGTGCCTCAGTGGATGACGAAATCTCTGCACGAATACAAAAGGCTCGGTTGACTTTCGCAAACTTACACCACCTGTGACACCACAGTGATATCCGACTGTCTATCAAGGGTCGCGTGTACTGCACACCAGTCCGCTCTGTTCTACTCTATGGCTGTGAAACATCGACATTCAAGGTGGAAAACATGAGAAGGATTCAAGTGTTTGACCAGAGTATAGATCTTCAGATTATAGATCGTGTTTCGTGGTGTCACCACTTGAGTAACGCAGAAGTCAGGATCAGGAGTAGAGTTTTAAGGAGGAGAGGCTAGACAGTTGATACGGATGTGAACCTTCACCGACTGAGAAGTTGTGACGTATGCTTAGCTACCGTTTCCCTCGTCACACAATGTTGGCCGGTGTAGATCCAGACTGAAAAAAGGCCCGAGGTGGCCAGACTAAAACATGGCACCAATGTGTTAAGTCTCTGACTGTTGGTTTGAGTCATGTGGGGAGATGCAGACTAGCCGGTTGGGGTCCACGGGACGAGAGAAGCCAGTGGTTGGAGACTCTAGGTGATATGGCTGAGAACCGATATCAGTCGAGAAGATATATACACACATTATCCTCACCTTAACATTATATCGAATCTCACCATTGTTTCATTCTTCCTTTCTTTCTTCTCGTACTTTATATCTCTTCTGACTGAATTTCCTTATCTTCATCTTGCAGTTCACTGCCTTTTTACTTGATGTACTGATATGAGCTGTGGCAACTCGGACCATTACTCAGTAATGCCTGGTCCTATGTTGATAGATGATGATGATTAGATACTAGGAGATATGAGGAAAGCACCTACTGAGCATTGATGGCAATGGATAAAACGTGTATCAGTTTGACAAAATACAGTCAACAGCGAAACCATATCCAATCACACACAATGTATTTACTGTTTTTATATTTTCTGAAGTTGAAAATGACTATCTTACACTTTCATTAGTAAATGCTGACCTCCCTAGGCCAGCATGTATTAGTTAAACGATATTTTTTTTTTAAAATATCACTACATCATGTGGAACATTATGCAGGTTAAACAAATATTGACAACAAAAGTTATGATAAAACCACTCTTGTTACTTTATGCCCATTTCACTAGTTTATACGAAATGACAGCAGTACTCTGTCAGATCAAATTAACAAAAAGAGGATGTTTTCTTACATACCATAGTAAATCAGAAGCTGGTGGCGCTAAGTAAGCATGTCTGAATACACCAGGCTTCTTTGGTTTTTTGATTGAATACAATTTCCTCCAAGGCCGATGACTTTCACAATACATTTTCATGTTTAAAGTGTTATCGATATGTAGAACGTGTAAAGGACAGACTGTGTATGAAGACAAAAATCTAGATGAATAGGAAGAAAAGAAAAAAAGAGAGAGACAATCAAGTTACTTTAGAAATTTCATATGTATATGTGTAGTATTAGTTAGTGATGGTGAATATTGATAGTGACTCATAGTTTCTGCAGATCTTTAGGACTTACTACTTACATGTGTGCAACTGTTACAAAGACACATGATACTTGCTTGAACTAGTCACTACGTATCAGTCGTGTTGATAGTGACAAATAAATTTTTGTGATTAGGGAATATACTATGATTACAAAGTGAAGCAGTAAGACCTTTTGTTTCGAAGTGTTAGATACTAAGTTTTCAACGGGTTCACGAACAAAAGTACGCCTTTTTTTCATGTTGGCATTCAATACCAGGGTTTATGTTTCAAAAGAGTACTGAAGCCATTAACGTATTAGTAAAAGTCCCCATACTAAATATAGCATACTACTTAGATTAGTTCCTATACTGCAGCGAATATTCGAAAGAACTGGATCAGTGTTCGTGACCTAGAGTAAAGACTTAAAAAACAGGATAATTAGAAGCCTTAAAGTGGAAATAGACCCTAGTAAATAGTATGACGTAGATGAAATTTTAGGTAGTGAGTTCGTAGTCAACAGGCTCTAAACTCAGAATATTCAACACACTGCAAGTATGATACATACATCCATTAACTCATATCCGAATTTAGGGGGAATAAAAAACTATTCGAATTAAACGCCAACAACCAATCAAATTTAGGATAGCATTTAGTCAGTCCAGTACCTTCGCTGCTATATATCTTTCTGAGCACGTTAATTGAGTGACTTTAAAACCTCCCCTAGAAACTACTAAATTAACCAATCAAATTTCATAATTTCGACTGCCAATGTAGTTTTTCATAGATTATAGGAACGTAACTGGTTATCTAAGCGGTTGCTAGGGTAGCATTTAAAGTCACTGCAATACTTTAATATCAAAATTACGAACTTCGCAACCTTAATTTATATAAATAAAAAAGCACAGATTATTCCAGTGTTATTTGTAAGTTTTAATATTATGTTAATTCTGCGAAAAAACTCAAAGCAAGCTGCTTAGTTTATTGAAGACTTTTGGTAGTCGAAAGGAAGGAATGAAATAAGATGAATCTATTCAATCTGAAGTTACTGTTTCGATTATGTTGATGAAATTTTTCAAGGAGTTTTAAGTCATTAATACATTTTGAACTTTAACGAAAATGATTATCACATACTATACGATTACTTTGGGTTTTAGCACTCATTGAAAATGACTTGTCACTTGAATGTACTTGGTGTTTCAGCAAAATTTGCATTTCCTACTCATTGAGTCGTAAAGGAAAGGCATGTTCACGAATAAACTGTTCACTTACAATGTTCGTACAATGGGTATGATATGAAGTTCAGTTTCATTTAGCTAACGAATAGTCATTTCATTCCTTTCTAAAAAAATTGAAGGTAGGAGGGAAAGTTGACTTTGTGTGACTGGCTAGAGTGACAGTACCAATTCATCAAACACTTATAACAGGAGATGTAAGATAAAAGGTGCACACCTAGTTGCGTAACACAGTGTAATAAATGAGTGCAATAGCCTGTTCACTTACCTAGATATTTGAATCAAGTGTTAGTGGTAGTTACAAAAGGACTGATGGTCATTTTCTAAAACAAGACACCTGAGTCACTACCATATTACACGAATAGCGTAGCAATGTGTATCTCGACGCTGAAGGAAGACTAGAAAAGAGTACATTGACAGAATTTTCAAGCTACTCAGACTTCAAAGATTGTTCACTAATGAAGATAATGACTGCTACACTGAATCTTAATTGAAACTGCAAACTTGTCATGGAGTCCTGCAGATAACCTAAATCACTGGTTAGTGATGTTAAATCAGGACGCTCTAAATCCACCATGATGATGAAACAGCATCAATTTCATCTTTTAATTTTGAACATCGCATTATTGTCTGCATGTTCTGCATACTTTCATATCAATCCTATAATGTTTGATAAGTCGTTAGCATTGTTGGTTTTATCTTGTCGCGTTGAGAACAAGTTATTTTAAATAGTATTAGATTATGCATCATTTCAATCGACCAGTTAGTTTTATGATATACGCCTACTTATAAATTTACAGTAATAAAATACTTTGGAAAAAATAGTTTCACCAACCTTAAAGCTTGTTCAGAATTCTCCAAGCCGACAAACACAATACCTGTATGTGGTATATTCAGTAAAGTATCATCTTTACCTTCATTCGTTCTGATTAAAAAGTCAGTATTCAATAAACCAATAAACGTTTTAAAAGCGTGTATTTGTGTTTCAAGTAAATTTAACTGCTCATTATATACCTCGATTGCATTAGCCTTTGATTTACACACTCCCAGTGAATGACAACAAACACTGCATTTGTAATAGGATGGCTGTCTACCAGTGGCTGCTAACTCTTCAACTGCACTATAGAGGTATATTTCTGTTTCTGTTCTGGAAAAAAAAATCAAATTTCATCCAAGTGAGCAAAGCAATTATTATTTCATAGGTAAATTAATACAATATGCGAAATAGCTTAGACTAATCAGATATGTTCGGAAGTGCTGAGACTTAATGATTAACTCTGGGCTAGATACTCACTAGGTAAACATTTTTCAAAAGTAATATGCTTCTTTTTATACAAATCACAGCTTTGCAGTTCTCCAGTCAGTAAGCTAATAGAGAAGTAAGGCCTGAAAATGGTATGTAACAGCCTAGGTTAAGAAACCTTATATCAGCGAATCAAGATATAAGGCAGAAAGATGAAACATAAACACAAGGAACTGAAATCAAATTCGAACTCCTAGAAAGTCACAAGAAGGGAGGAAGAATGGGCAAGACAATTACGAAGTGAGATATGACAGTTAGCAGGAAGAAAATGTGTGGATGCATCTGTACAACAGAAGTCTATACTAGGTCAAGTAGCATACAGTTTACCACTATCGATTTTAGTCTTCAAGAGGACATTAACCCGAAAGCTTACATTCCTCTGGACGGCTCAGACCAGTATTACCAGATTTCACAAACTGATGCCATCTTAAGGTTTGGCCAACTTTGATTTTTCTTCGATCTAGGCACATTTCAATAATGAAGTGACAAGATAGAGGTTGACAGCGTATATGCAGCACATATCTAAGACAACTGAAGTGATTATTTCATTATTTTCCCTTGGGTTCCTAGCGGAACATAGGGCTTCAGTAGCACGTCACCATTGCACTCTGTTTTCTGCAGTCTTTTGAACCTTGCTCCACGACTGCCCACAAGTCTTAATTTCTTCTTCACATGATCTCCTGCATGTCACCCTCGGACGCCCAACTCATCGTCGTCAAAAAGCGAGCTTTGACCTCGTCTGGTTAACGAGTTCACTAGTTATCAGCCGGTCCTAAGCCTCGGTAAAGAGGGAAGGTTGGGCATAGGGCTAGCAACCCTACCCCGTAAAACAAATTCAATCGCCAAAGAAACCGCAAACCACAAAAATATTATAAAATATAAAATTAAACTTATTCCTCATCGGAATCGGCTAGACGAAGTAACGCCGGTTGGTGAAAGTCTTCGGGAAGCCAATTAGCCGATATACCTTCTCTTCTCTCGATGAAAGCGAAAGTAAACGTGGAGACATGGAATGTCCGCACCATGTTTGAACCCAGCAAGGCAGCCGAGATTGCAAACGAGATGAAAGGGTATCATATTGAAGTGCTTGGAATTTACGAAAGCAGATGGAATGGGAGTGGACTCTCCAAACTGTCAACTGGAGAGTCAATAATCTACTCCGATATTGTCACCCAGACAACAACCACGAGCACACTGAGTTTTGGAGTGTCTGTCATGATGTCTGCAACAACATCGAAGGCTCTCAGGCAATGGGAACCAATCTCCTCCAGCATCAGGATCATGACAGCAAGATTCAACTCAAAAGGAAGGAAACTCACAATCATACAATGCTACGCGCCAACAAATAATGCAGATCTGAAGTGATAGAGATTGGTAAACTTACAACCTTTCTTAACTAATACTCTACGTCCAACTTCTACATTGTTAACATGTTTGTTCCATGAGACGCAGTCAATGTAACAAAGTAAACGATGGTCAAAACCTGAAGTCTTTTAATTCCCTTCATTTTTATTTGGTACATTTGACAGGGAAATACTTTAATGGAGCAAGCAGCAATGTAGTACACACAAGCTTTCAAAAATGATGAGATAGCTTGACGGTAACATAGGTAGTGTAAATTGGCAAACGCCAATCGACTCTTTTGTAGTTATGCAGAGATTTCATTGTTCACTGAACCATCAGGGCTGGTCTGAATTTTCTAGCAAGTGAAGTGATCAGCCTGTATGACTACTTCATGTGCTACTGTTGAACGAAGCACCAGTAAAGATCAATTCAGAAGCTAGGATTTGCATTTGGGTGGCAGAAAACGCATCCCAAATATTCTTAGATTACCAATGAATGTGTTTAGAAGACTTGACATCTTTTAGACATCTGCAGCTTACAGGAATATGTTGTCTGTGTATTTCTAGATATACCAAGGATTCTCCTATAATTAAAGAATTTCTCTAAAATCAGACGATAAGAGGGAAGTATCCATAAGAACGTGTATTATGAGGTTGAATAAGAATGAATACAGTCGACTTTCGTGATGGACACAACTCACCATAGCTTCCAAGGCGCCAACAGGAATTCAAGAACAGAGCTTTCAACAAAGTAATCCACTTACACAACACGCATTTCAGCAAGAGACACTGATAGAACTCTCGATCGACGGGGTCAAATGACATATTCAGGTCAAGGAGCTCAGCTAGTGTCGGGCAGCAGTAATCATACCGGTGTTCAAGAACCTAGCTAGAGTGAAAATATGGTCGACACGCACATGATCAGGTCTGATAACTTCCTGGTTTTTTCGCAACTGTTTTTTCATTGGCTCCACTCAAACGTCCGATGATTACAGGACCTACATTCGTAGACACACTGTTGTTATCATAAGAGGATTTCTTGCCTTTCTTCAAGACTTGGAAAATAAGAGATTGAAACCGACTAGAGGGTGTCAAATCTGACACCCACATACTAGCAAACACTAAAGTTATTCTGTCGAACAATCTCCATCAACCGTCCCGTATTAGTCCGTTTGGACCTGCTACCCTTCCTCGTTCCAAGTCACTTACAGCCTTCCTGATTTCTGCAAGTGTTGAGGGGCCTCTCTGAGTGTTGTATTCGAAATCCAACGAGTAGCGAGTAAAGGAATAAACTGTGGATAGTTGGTTTGACCACTTGACTTTTAACCGATGGATTATGGGTTCGAATTCCGCCCCATCTACCAATTTCGATGTCCAGTTAGTATCATTAGTACGAATGCAGTAGGTGTTGCTGTCCAAATAGGTGTTTGGTTGTTGAGTGTATTTCTATATTTTCCAAGCCAGAGGCAGGTTGAAGCGTACCAAAAGTACTACCCAATTACCACTTTGAATAGCTCAGCTTTCCCACTAGAGCATTAAAATTTCCAAACATGAAGGCTTGGCTTCCAGAAGTAACTAAACATATTTTGGTAAAACTCATTTTTCACTTCATCTGAATTGCGATCTGTGGGTGCTTAAGCAGAGAGATTACAAACAGATAATGTCCAGTTTATATATTATTTCAGGTTCTAACTGCATCATTTAGTCGAGCAGCGCACAGACAACCATTAGTCGCAATGCAATCATGCAATGCAAATTTCTATTTTAGGATTCAATGCTGATTTACACCTGCCAGACTAGAATAACTAATTATTAAAGCTCCAGGAAATCGAAGGATGAATTCGCAGGTTTAGCATACTGTCTGGGTGAGGTTAACTGGATAACTGCACTTGGATACCGGGTTTGTCTCATAGGTACAGTATACATCTTTGGCTTCAGATGTCAGAGATGTGGTTGGTTAAGCTTGTTATCCAGTTTGACAGAGGGTGGAGACACCGCTACGTTCGATGTGTGGTTAGGAGCGTAGTTTCAGGGGATGAGAAATGCTATTTTGTGAGCTCGAATTCTTATCAAGAGTTGCACAGCTGGCAGAAATTAATAATAAAATATTATTAACAAGAGATGTGAAGAGAGATTGTAAGGCACTTATGTATCAGGTTGATAGTGGTAACAGTGAGATGATGGGGTGAAATGATAGTTCATCAATCTCGAATGAAATACTATTTAGAGAATTCGGACAGAGTTGTGCATCATGACGAAAAGTTTGTCGACCAAGGAAGAAAGCATGGTATTTGGATGGTTATCAAAACGTTTCAAAGTGAAAACAGCTGGTATTTGTGAATTTTGTCACATTTCCAAGCTAAGATAAGAAATTTAAAATAATTCTCTCTGAAGCTCATAAGATAAAAGTAGTTTTGCCGGGTTAAGAAAGTATTTTCCAATTAATTTGAGGTGCGGGATAACAGAATATAAAGATTTATGAATGCCGAAAATCACAGGCAATTTTAAGCGCGACAACAGTTTGCCGTTGTCTGAGCTCTTATATTTTGTCGTAGATATCTCACTATCACCACTAACTTTATAAAGTTAGTGCTGATGAAGTCACCAAGTCAAATGATGAAATGTACACGACAAAATAACAAAGCTTAGAGATCACTAAACCATCATCAGACTAAACCTGATTTACATTTTTTCACGTCAACTGAGCACATAGGTATATCGATCACTAACATGTTAGCAAAGTGAAACTCTTGTTCCTGAAAAAAGAATCTAAAGAAATTGAATGTCGAATGTTAGGAACATATCTGATAGTTAGTAGTTGAATAAGATATTGACTGATGCTTTTGATACTGCGTCGTTTATTTACTGGACCAGATGAGACAAACTTCAAACAATTAAACTTTCTGAAACAATTAGTCCTTTTAATAAATTTTAATGACGTTATTAGAAGACAAGATTAGCTTAAAAAATGTGATGTGTTTGCGCAATACATTTCGAACAACTTGATCACTAATTTACTTGTAAAGTCAATTTATGTACGAAAATGAAAAAATTTATGGTCAAATATAATGCATATGAAAAGGTTGGATGGGACAGTAGTTAAGTTTCTACAGCTTTTATCCAATGAAATACAGGAGAGGTTCGGTGAAATGCTTATTTAATAGGATCCAAAGAATTTTTACATTTGATACAATGGATGATGACAGCAAATTTCTGATAGATACACCTATGGAAAACGCATATCCATTACAGCTTCTAAACCATTGTAGAAAACAGCTAACCCCAAAGCCTATAGTCTACTCGACCCCGAAGAAAGATATATTTCTTAAAGTATCATACACAGGGGGAACGAGTAGTATGACATTGAAACAGAGATTTAAATATGTGTTTACCAATTTACATGTATGCGTGAGGACATATACATATACATAGGGAGGTGTAATCATGGTATGCAGACTAGGGTCGGTGAACATATACCTAAATGGCTTGAAAAACAACTTAACACACAAACTTTGATAAGTGCAGGTGACAGACATCCAACTTCATTTACAGCAAAACACATAATCGAAATGAATCATAAGGTTAATACGAAAACAGTGTCAGGTAACATATTGGAACTGAAATTTACCGAAGCGTCAGCCATTGTTAAGTTTCATCCCCTGTTGTGTGTACAGAAACAATTTTTTCTCTTAAATTACCTTGATAATCCTTATCTGATTATTTTATCAAAACTAGTGTCATAACCGTTTCATATTCATTGTATTTGACCTGTAATTCGTTTTCGTTTTCATATATAAATAGACAAGTAAATTTGTGATCAGACTGTTCGAAATGTATTGCGCTAATACATCACATTTTTCAAGTAATCTTCTAATAACGTTATTGAAGTTAAACTTTCATCACGGTTTTCTAACCGCAATTAAAACGGATTAGAACGGGGAAAAAAATATGAGCAAGATAATTAAACACATTTTCTTCCCCAAAGCTGACTTATTTCCTTTCTGAATAGATAAAAACCTGAAGAACTCACTTAGCTTGTTCAAGTTCAATCAACTGTCTAATCAAATAAACTGGCTGAATCCATTTCACAATGATATCTGGATGGAATTCTCTACATTGAACGAAGAATTTTAAGAAATAAAACATTGATTATAACAGTACTCAACGTTCACTTTAAAAAGTAACAACTACATGAGATCGGAATTAAAATTAAAATTTCAAAATCAAAAGTGTTTACGGTACTTGTATATCTGCTCCCACATCAAACTGAAAAACGCATTGGGTCTACAAATAAAACACATATGGGAACTTTGATTGGTCACTGGAGAGTAATACGTTGACCAGTAAATTTGGCAAACTATATCGTATGGCACTAAAATAAATCAGGCATAATAAGTTATGCATGCGCCCATTGCAATCAGATTTCAACCAAGAATAAAAGTGTTTTCGAAAAATAACAACAATTACAAACTTCAACAGATTAACGCACGACTATGATGCAAATCTATGGCTTAATGATGATACTAAGCGCACAGATTAAAGTGAGTTGAAATTATTAGGAAGTTTATGTAGTAATATACAAGTGAGGGTGAAGGAAATGAGTAATGAAAGTGAAAACCCACAGAAATGAAGACAGGTGAAAATCTAAGGTTTTATGGAAATAACCTGATGTACACAGAATGAATTAGGAGCGTTATTGTATTGAAATGAAGTAGTTATGAAGAAATAAAAAATACTAGCACACTATAGCACTGTCGATAACCTTTATCATCCGGACAAACTATAAATACACCCAACTTAGTGGCGTAATTTTCTACTTAATAATTATTTTAAAGAAACTGATTAATTTAAATGCTGTGCGCAAATATCACTCTTTGTGTAATTGAACCCTTTAGAACTGAATTGAGTGTTTTCCGTTTCAAATCAAGGGGAACTCTGGCGACGAACCAACCAAGAACCTATCGCCCAACAAATATGTAGAAGAAAGTGGAGATGATTTGGATTGGGCATACACTGAGAAGGCCGACTGGGGATATCACGCGTCAGGTCAGACCCTCGAGTGGAACTCCGATTAGAAGCGACAAGTTGGGCGTCCCAGTTGAGGGTGACATGGAGGAGATCGTGCGAGGAGGAAATGAGAGCTTGCGGGCTGTCGTGGAGCCAGGTTCGAAAGATTTCAGAGAACAGAGCGCATTGTAGACGTGCTGCTGAACCCTATGTTCTACTAGGAACCCATGGGAAAAATAATAATAATAATAAATAATATAAAGTCATAAATGGCTCACGTTTTTCAACTTTTAAGTAAATTTACGTAACCTTGTAAGTCAATGTTCGCGGTCAGAACCATTAAATAGTGATGCATTGCCTTCGTGATAATAAGGTAGCTTGAGACTATCTAACTTAATGAGAAGCATACAAGAAGTTAGTGAGGTAATTACCATAAGAAATTTACACGCACGAAATGATATTGGCTACAAAACTATATTTTCGTTACAATCTTACGCATGGTAAATATGTAAGAAATCCTAAATGATTTCGACAGACGGTGAAGTAGTAGGTAGAGTTCCTTTGGAATAACCCTTCAAGAATCATCTATATTAAATACTATGAAAAAATAGTCTATGGCACTCAACAAAACGCAAACGATGTTAATATTTTTCTTCATGACGGGAATGCCGTATCAACTGGACGAGACCCAAAAACCGTTAAACCACTTTATAACTTAAAGTTAGTAGGCTAAATGATGAGAATAGCGAGATATTCAGGTGTTTTCACCTTGCTGCTCAACTGAATGTCATATATAGAAAGATCCGACTGATAAACGTTTTCACCTCAAGAATAAGAAAAACGTTAATTGTTCTATACAATAGATGGTAAACCATTGAACAAAGTGAGAAAGAAAAGTATGACAACAAACAACTAACCAGCTGCCAAATTTGTGGTAAAAGAATCCTAAAACATATGCCTGCATTGGCCTTCGGGTGGCAATACGATAGATATATTTAAAAATCTTATATACCTTTGAGAAATGTATTCGGTGATCTCAGCCAAGAGAAAGTATGCAATAGTAGACACCATCCTTATACATATTAAGCACACTGTTACACATACTGCTGTTTAGTGTTTCTGAGAAATGCTCTCCTGAAGATGAGGATGTTTGAAAATCCATTCCATCAAATAAATATTATTTCAGAAATACTGCTCATGTCTAGTAAAGACATTACCACATAATCACGAATATAAGCTCATGCATGTTTAGAAAAATAGCCTTATCTGATGAGTCAAGTCATCTTTAATCACATGTTGGCATAGTTTCGAAACAGTTTACATATGTTGTCACAAAACAGAACTTAGACAAGCAAATCAGTTTAGAACCTGATACATAGGTACTTCAGTTCACATAACCACACTTCATGACAGCATGCTGAAAAGTCGATACAAAAATAGTGACGCTGAAGTACAAAAAAGTATGGGAGAGATGAGACAATAAAAATATTCAAGACTTCGAGGGTAAAAAAACAGTACGTTGGTGTGTGCTACTATGACTGATTTTCAGGTATAGCACCAAGTTTCCAAACACTGTTTTCTATCATCTGAAGGACCCCAATAAGGTGGATCAATATCCCTCAAAACGGCTCATACTGACAGTAGGAGCCTTAATGGGCTAGTGGAATGTTTTCATCTGGCGTTCATTAGCTTTCTTCCAGCCTAATCGCAGTTTACGAAACATTGCGCGAAGAGGTAGGCAGTGGCTAGACATGTACAACACGTGTCACTCTACACAGTGTAGGTTCATCACTACATCGACACATTTACCTTCATTGTATAGTACGCCACGTCTAGCCTCAACAATAATCACATGATGATTCCATCACCCACGAGAAATACTACGAAGATATTTATGCTCAAAAACCTGAAACCCCTTCGAATTTACCTTAAGGAGCCATGTCTTAGTTTATGTATGGTTGAGCAACTGACAGAAACTACAGGATGTGAAGGGCTGTTGGTGACCTGATAGCTTTTTAAAAAATATGTTGACAAAGTGGTGATCGATTAGAAGCACGAAGATATAGTTTATGTATTAAAATACCGCGTACCATGCAAAATCATATCAGCCTAAAACGCCACTGTCAAAGACACTGCTTAGTCGAAAAGAAGAGGGCTTACTAAGAAGAGTGACATACATAAACTCTTCCTTAATAGGGTAATATCTGAGTTTTCACAGTGTTTGTCCGATCTAATACAAGAAGTGTCTAATAAATTGCCAATTCGATAGGATATATCGCATTTTTACACCAGATATCGAATCATCGAAAAACACTGATATCCACTGAATTTCATAAAGTAATAGAGAAACCATCTCGCATCAAAGTTCATTTTATACTCGCTCCCTAAGAAAAAAAAGTTCATATTACTGTGCCATGAAGAGGGAAGTTCCGTAGCAAGATTTTGAGGGCGATACAATCACATATCACTTGTAAGAAATAATATGCAACCGATTTTACCACTGTTTAAAAAGCAAAACATCTGCTTCACCACAAACCTAAACACTGTAGAAACGGTTACGTCATACCCCATTACGTTAACCTATATATATATATATATATATATATATATATATATATATATATATATATATATATATATATATATATATATATATATATATGGAGGAGTACTCGAATCATACAGTTGAAAATAACGCAGCATGCACCTAAACAGTTTGAGTGTAAAACTTGAGGAAGCCTAGATGACCCAAGCCTATTTATTTATAGCTAGGCAAATTATTGGCAAGTGTAGAAGAATTAGTGTTAAAACAGCTTTTAAAATGATATTATTGGTTTCTATTTCACATTGTTGATTGTACCGAATCGATCAACCATCAATGGGATTTGGGTTCCTGCACAAAAGCCTCTAAATTGCCAGGAATTTAAGATCAACAGTAAAGATGGGTGGTGACAAGCAGTGGAATTCAGAAACCACAATTAGCTCCGTTGGAAATCCGTTATCTGGAACTCGACCGAAAGCTGCTACCCTAACCTGGTATTCGAGCTTGTTAGACAGACTGATGGAATCAATGTAGAACCTTGCACACAAGTGAATCAATTCAAGTTGCCACGCTTCAACTATAGTACACAAAGATCAAGTGGACAGAAGTTATATCAAAGTAGACAAAATTGTGTGAGAAAATAAACTATCGGAAGATGCGGGTTAGTACTTAAAAAGATATCAAGGAGTGAATGCGTCTGCACCATTGTGACTCTTTTTCGGGCATACAACCAAGAGCTCTCAACCACTGACTCCTTTTGTCTTGGGGAACCCAGACAGTTAGTTTACATCTCCCAAGATCAACAGTCAGGGACTTCACGGAATGTTGGCACGTCTTGGTCAGGTCACCCTGAATCCTCTTGCAACCTAATCCAACTTCCTCCTAGCATGGTATGTCTCCAAACTATCTCAGTCGACGAAGGTTAACAACCACATCACTCGACTTGTCTATCTTGCCTAGGACTCTTCGTCTGACCTCAAAATTGTGTACACGGTGATTCCACTAAACGCGAGCAATGCTACGAAGACACCTATGGTCAGAACTCTGTAGCCGCTTCATGTCTTGTACTTTCATGGCCATGCCTCACAGCCGTAAAACAGGACAGGATGGACTGCAGTGCAGTAGGACTCATAATGTGTTAGATAATCGGATATCTAGCCGGTCGGTGCCACAGATGATGCAGAGAGCAAATGTCAAACAGGCCTTCTGTATCCGAGCTGAGATTTATTCAGTAACCAGTCCGTTCGGCGAGCTGATGTGACTTCGCAAGTAAGTGAAGTGGTCGACACATTACACCAACTCACTCTTTATCACTAAACTGAGAGTACTTGCAGCAGACGAGTCTTGGAGAATCATCTTAAATTTGATAATTACGAAACACATGTGAAACATACTCAGATTTCTACTCAACGCATCCAGAACATACTGCATTTTTTTCAGTCTTTACCTAGCAGGACGATATCGTCTACGTGCTTCAAGTTAGCCAGATGCCCTCCAGAGGTAAATCAACCATGTGAATTCAGACGTACCTAGGGTTATGTCCATTAGTATGTCAATATATA